CTCCTCCTCCTCCACCACCTCCTTCTCCTCCTCCTTTTACTCCTACTCCTTCTTCTTCCTTTTATGCATCAACCCCTTGGGTTCCTCGAAAGTTTAACGCTCTTACTATCCATTCAAGTGTCATAGGGTTTCTTTGCATGAACCAAGGGGACTGGCATGTGAAAGTGCTAGTGTTATTTCACCACTGCACGGCCGCGCTTCAAAATTGAAATGGATACGATAAACAAGACTCGTTTATCCACTTATCGATGATAAGTATGGTGTTCAAACGCAATGCTTTACCTGTTGGCTGCAGTATGCGAGTGATCCTCTGATGACGATTGGTGGTCCCTTCTTCTGTTCCATATCTCCCAGTAGTGCGGATACGAACGAGCTTTTTCCACTCCCAACTGGTCCTACCACTGCAATCATTTCTCCCCTGCAGAAACGGGGAAAAAAAGAGAACAAAGGACATATGTATTAGACATAATAATATGATCATAATCATAATATACAATAAGATTATAAATTATAATTACAAATTTGGGAAATTGTTCACCATGGAAAGCAAGAACACAAACAGGCTACCAAAGGCAAAGACATGGGGTGAGGTTTCACTAGCAAAGAGATCACATTCAACACCTGAATCTGCACGTGTTTGTGGAAAGGTGCAGAGTATTGCCATTGATCTGCTTTTCTGCATCTCTGCATAAGACACATCCAGGTTCAGGTGCTCTATCAAATCCTCTTTGCTACCGTCTTCCCCCGAACACAACGCACCCTCATTTTGGCAGAATCTGGCCGGAAATATAACTTGTATACATTCATTTTTAGGGTGCGTTATGTTCGGGGGAAGACGGTAGTGGGACCTCCCTCCTGTGGTGAGGTCCCAATTAGCTCGATTCTTTATTTCGGAGAAATTCGAACCCAAGATTAAAAAGATCAACCAGTTAGAAGATGAAGAAAACAAAACAAAAAAAAAGAATCCGGCTAAAAGACACCTCAGCCCTGGCGAGCTGATCTTCAGTCGCGAATTGGCACACCACTCTCAAAAACAGAAACGGTTTCAAGAGTCGTTTGGACAACCCCACTTTGGTCTTCCCAGTTTGGCGTTCCCAGGTTGGTATTGCCAGTTAATCGAACATATATTTCTGCAATGCCCAGGGACGATCCTCATATTGCGCCGGTGGGACAGAATGTGGTGTCAACAGGACATGCAGTCCACCTGACCATGGGACGAGGGGGTCCTCCTGTGCGGAACTTGGGCCTCCCCCGCTGACAGCACTTTTGAAGAGAACATGTTCAGGTTGGGGAGAAGGGCGGGTTATCATGGCCCTTCAACAGACTTTTCGTTAAATTTTAAATATTTTGCTGGCGCGACGAAATTTGAACAAGGATTTTTTTGCCTTTTACGATCCTGGCCAATTTCGAAGTGCAAAACTCACGAGAAAGTACAATACTGTCCAATTGCGAAAGAAGTGAATGAACTTGAGAGGGGAGAGGTAAAAAGAAGAAGAAGAAGAAGAAGAAGAAGAAGAAGAAGAAGAAGGAGAAGAAGAAGAGGAAGATGTACACCAGCAAAGATCAAGGACAAACTCCCTCCTCCTTGCCAACCAACTTCTCCTCCCTGCACCTCCTCTCTTATTCACACAATAAATAATAATAATGATGATGAATGACTGAACCAGAATCAAGTCTGAAATCCCACTTCTGCTGCTTGGCATAACTAGAGGTCCACCATAGCCATGGCCTCCTCCTTCCTCAACCAGGCCGAGGCTATGGCGGACTACTAAGGGCCTAGCCCTGCTGCGCAAAAGACAACGCAACACAGCTGTGTCCGCTGCCGTTCAGGCCGCCATGCCTGACTCTGCCTTCAAACCTTCTTGGTGCGGTGCAACCCCCACTGTTGCCTTCCAGATGCAGCGCCTAACAAGGTGATGAAGATGGCTTCCACCTCTCCACTCTCCTCCCTAGTCCCCTTCTTCCTGATCCTCCTACCTGGGGTCTTCCTCCATAGCCAGGGAGTTCACCCAGGCGCTCCTCCTCCCAGGCAGCACTGGTGGAGCTGCACTCCTCCTCCCAGCAGCGCTCTGAAGTCCAGCGCCCGCTCAAGCAGCATGACGCCCAAACTTGCATACCGCAAAAGAGGTAGAGCTCAGTGCTCTACCTGGAGATATAGTGGCCTACTTGCCTCTTGGGTGGTGACTTCCAGGCCGCGCGGCCTCCGAGCAAGCAGTACCTCCTCCCTTCCGGCTTAAACATCATTGCAGGCTCTGATATCGTCCGCACAGGCCCTATACTCAGGCTACTTGGACTGGTACCCGCCTACTGTTACTGGGTCTCTAAAAATGCCAACGTTTTGTCTTCTTCTGCTCGGCCTCCAGTTCCCCATACATCTACCGCTACTAGAGTAGTCCCAACACATCTACCTGCTACTTGAGTGCTTTTATCCGCTGCTCTAAGTGTGGCGGGCCTACTCCCGCTACTTGAGAGCTTTTTCCCCGCTGCAACCCTCAAAGTCATAGCCATTGGTAAGTACCGGCCCCCGTGGGCCTTCCAACCAAACAAGTGCCCTGGCGGGCCACACACACACTCAGACCGACAAGCACTCAGGTGGACACACGAACCACCAAGCACGCACAGGCACAGACTTAGAAAACTCAGCAGAACGAGGCGGGAATCTCAGCAAGTCATTCATTCCAGCGGCAACACTCAGAAATCAGCAGTGTTCTTGGTCTGTGTTTGGGCAGGTCATTACATGCCTCTTTTTGTATGTTTTTTTCAAATTTGTTGCTGATAACCTCGTGTTGGTGCATACCGAATTCAATCAAGGAACCCAAACATCTGGAAGGGTCAAAAGTGACAATGCGAAAATCCTTGTTCAATTTCGTCGCGCGAGCAAAATATTTCAAATTTAACGAAAACTTCGAAAAGTCTGTTTTTTTGGCGTAAATGTTGTATATACTATATATGCAATCAACAGCATACGAACAGGGGGGGAGGAAACCACTGAAATGATAAGGCAATGCATGCAACAAGATCCCACAGCAGAGTGGATGCAAGACAAATCCAGACTGGATCTTTTTCACACAAAAAAAGATATAACACAGGCAATTAAACTTTTATTTGTGCGGAATGGTTGGCGGACGGGCAACGGGGCTGGATAGCCCACACCCGGTGGGATGGATGCCGCCCCTCAGGTCACGGTCAAGCGGAGTTCAAGAGAGAGTATAGCATTGTCTTTAAGGATTGGACCAAGGTGGACGAAACAATCCCACTGCGCCCCGCCTCAGAGTTCCTGGACCCTCTTCCGCCACACCAGCTCTCTCTGGTGGACATGCAGTGGTACGGAGTCTGCCAAAAGCCAAGACTACAGCCAGGGACGATGCAGACTATCTGGCGGCCGGGAAGGCTGTAAGAGGCGGTAGTCGGACAAGAAGGCAGATATTTCCCATACACCATGAATGAGAAAGGAATTCTAGTGAGCTGTTTTCAACAGGGTTGCATGTTGCAAATAGCAGGTGGTCACAGGCAGTTTCTCCCCTGGCAACAGGGCAGTCAATGCTGCCGAGTGCAGACCTTCTCAACAATGAGGAATGTAAGGCTTCCAAGCTATGTAATGGGCCGCTGAGCCCGGTGTCCAGCAGGTGAATCTTCCCACCAATAGACAGGAGCCAAGGGTGGAGGGGGCTAGTATTGGGGGATGCTCATACCACCCCCAACAGTAGCCCCTGCTGCAAGTGTTCCCAAAAAAAACAAAAACAAAAAGTTTGGCATTCCCAGTTAGTCGAAAACAAATTCCGAAAGGTCGAGAGAAGCTAAAAGAGAGTAAAGTGGAGGGAACGACGCGGTGGCCCCGTAGTACTCACGGCATGCTGTGCCAGGAATCCAGGATAGACACATCTAGCCTTTCACGAAGGCAGTGCGAAAAGTCATCACCCGGGGTGCTTAGCACATGCATGCGCGTTGTGGGGCTGCGGGGCGTGAGCCGCGTGACTAGGTAAGGACCCTAGCAATCAGAGGACGAAAGCATACTTGTTGAGAGTGTGGGAAGTTGGGTAGTAGTGGAAGGAAAGTTGTTATCTTTAGGGTTGGAGAAGCATCCGTCCACTATTTTTTTGGACATATCAGAATCTCCTATGGTTCCCCGGTCTAAGGCGAATGATCATATAAGGGTGCTCTCACCACCTCCCTAAAATAAGAACCTATGGAGCGAAACCTTTCTGGCAAAGCTTGGCACGCAGGGGGGATCGGCCTCATACAAAAGAGGCCCAGACGTACTGCTGGTTTAAAATTTTAAATGCAAAAAAGAAACTCGGGTCGGCCTGTCCTACACACACCGCACGGTTTTATAGGACGTTCAATCCACAAATGGCACTGCAACTCGAGCGGTACTGTCCGACATGGCCTCCGATGTTGCCATGACAAATGGCGCACCACCCCATTAGCCTATTGGTGAGGTGTTTGCCTGACTAGCCATTGGTTGTGTGTTCAATTCTCGGACTGGACATGCAGGACAAAACTGAAGGCCGTAGTTTCTTTTGCAGTCAAAACACAGGCCGAGGCAAAGTGCACTTCTCAACGAGGTGTTTGCCTGACTAGCCATTGGTTGTGTGTTGATTCTCGGACTGGACATGCAGGACAAAACTGAAGGCCGTAGTTTCTTTTGCAAGCAAAACACAGGACGAGGCAAAGTGCACTTCTCAACTCAACACCTGCAAAGCCTTCAGGTGCAGAAGGCTTAACGGAGGATAGAAAACCTAAACAAGCCTTTCAGGTTCTACGGTGACGGAAATGAGACTCACTGGCTACTATAAGAACTGCTGGCAACCATATCAACCATTTTGTACTATGGAGCGAGGCTGCAGATGTGTGTCTGATGATGTGTGTGTGTGTGTGTGTGTGTGTGTGTGAGAGAGAGAGAGAGAGAGAGAGAGAGAGAGAGAGAGAGAGAGAGAGAGAGAGAGAGAGAG